GTCTTTGGTTGGAAAAAGACCCTCAACATCAACAAAACGTTAATTGTACATCATCAAAACAATGTTTTGGTCTGTTCTTGAATGAATGAATGAATGAATGAATGAATTCCTTGCATGTTTGTTTTCCGCATTAAAGCGGCTGTGATCATGTCAGTGAAACGCTGCGGATTTGGCTGCTTCATGACTTAATAAAGAAGCACCAAACCAAACCCCTATTGGAGCGTTTAATGGGCCAGTGGAGGGAATCCACAACGTCATATCGCCATTCGTGTTTGCTAAATTATTTGCCATGTTAAGCGGCGCCGGCGACCCCGCAGGGGGCCGGCAAAAAGGCCTTCAGCATCCTCCCCCTGAATGTTTGAAAGAGCAATGGACTTTTGGGGAGGAACCAGGTCCGTCTTTGTGGAGGGTTCCGCCCCACGCCTCCAGCACAGAGGGGACATTGTGGACAGGGGGACACAACGCGTCCATTCAGGACAAACAGGGCGGATCACAACGTGTTCTATCAAATAAGAATAAGTGTTATGGAAGACCTTCTGTCATTATACACACATATATATATATATATATATATATATATATCCATGGTGGTGTTTACATGACAGCCAGACTTTTCACTGGAGAAAAGCTCAACGTTTATTCTGGATTAAAGAAATCCTGCTTGGGATCAAGGTAAAAGCACAGTGGAAGATAAAGGCGTGACCACGGTGACCATCGCTCGCCGCCACACGAGCCGGCTCAGCGAGCTAAAGCCTCACTGGGGGTCATCGGTGATCCCACAGTATCACAGCTCCGGGCCGCTGCTCCACCGCGGCAGGGCGGCCTTATCAGCGAGGCATCAGTGTGAGAGTTTGCACTTAAGTCTTAAATCCCCTCTTCAGGCGCACCAGACGGTTCTCCTCTAACCGCTGGACGAGACGCGGCTTTAGGAAAAGAGGGGCTTGAAAATGACTTTTCCAGGAATCAGGATCATGTATTACCGATCAGACAGTAAGACAATGGACAACAAGACAGATAAGACAACATAGTGCAAGAACAACATAATGCAATAGGAATATATATTGAAAATAAAAAGTAAAAAATAAAGTCCACAGGGCGGAAAAGAAAGAACAGACAAATACAACCGCGAGCTCTGGATCCCGAGAGTCTTCACGGTGGAAGCGAAGGAGGACGGGTTCGCATCTAAAGATTTTTTAAAAAGCCCGGTGACGACCTGTGGGGAGCGCGTAATGGAAACACGACTCAGACGTGGCAACCGTAACGGGATGTGTCTGCCAAGGCACGTGGCCTCGTTGAATATGACAGCTCTCAGCGATGGCAGATAGAACACACGTGAACGGAGGCCGCCCTGATGCCAGCAGAGAGCAGAGGCCGCCCTGATGCCAGTAGAGAGCAGAGGCCACCTTGATGCCAGCAGAGAGAGCAGAGGCCGCCCTGATGCCAGCAGAGAGCAGAGGCCGCCCTGATGCCAGTAGAGGGCAGAGGCCGCCCTGATGCCAGCAGAGAGAGCAGAGGCCGCCCTGATGCCAGCAGAGAGAGCAGAGGCCGCCCTGATGCCAGCAGAGAGCAGAGGCCGCCCTGATGCCAGTAGAGAGCAGAGGCCGCCCTGATGCCAGTAGAGAGCAGAGGCCGCCCTGATGCCAGCAGAGAGAGCAGAGGCCGCCCTGATGCCAGTAGAGAGCAGAGGCCGCCCTGATGCCAGTAGAGAGAGCAGAGGCCCTCCCTGATGCCAGTAGAGAGCAGAGGCCGCCCTGATGCCAGTAGAGAGCAGAGGCCGCCCTGATGCCAGTAGAGAGAGCAGAGGCCGCCCTGATGCCAGTAGAGAGAGCAGAGGCCGTCCTGATGCCAGTAGAGGCTGTTATTCTGTACCTTTGCAGACGCTGTGCTCGGTGTGCCCTGACTTCGCCTTAAGCTCCGCCCCCTCCTTTACTCCCAACTACAACTGGAGCGATTCCCAGAAAGCACCACAGCAACTGCCTTTGCCGCACGGGCCAAACCGAACTGCCACACAGGCGCAAAAAGGACCGCCACACTGAAGTGGAAAGTCTGACCCGTCATGTAATCCGAGCTGCACTTTGGTTTGGGTTTTTTCTTCACTAAAATAAATGAAGTTGGCACAGAACTTATTTTTCTTTTCTTTCGCTGCCTACAGTGAACTTTCTGTGGCAGGGTGGACAAGCGTGCATGTTTCCCTGTGACGTCTAGAAATGACAACGAAAGCTGGTTCAGAGCAGTGTTAATTTTGGCAGCTATTTTTGATTTAGTCTTAGTCTTTAGACAAATTTTTTTTAGACGTTTTAGTCACATTTAATAGCCATATAAAACTCCTTTTCTTCCCTTCTCAGGCCCAGGGACCCCCTGTGTTGGGTCTATAACTACATAATAGTCCCTCCTAGATGTCCCTCCTGGGACAGGTCTATAGATGTCCCTCCTGGGACAGGTCTATAGATGTCCCTCCTAGGACAGGTCTATAGATGTCCCTCCTGGGACAGGAGCTGTCCCTCTTAGGACAGGTCTATAGATGTCCCTCCTGGGACAGGTCTATAGATGTCCCTCCTAGGACAGGTCTGTAGATGTCCCTCCTAGGACAGGTCTGTAGATGTCCCTCATAGGACAGGTCTATAGATGTCCCTCATAGGACAGGTCTATAGATGTCCCTCATAGGACAGGTCTATAGCAGGTCGGCAAACGTTTTGACTCGGGGCCACAGTGGGTTGTAAAATGTGACGGAGACCAAGAACAAATGGTTGAAGAGTTTGTGTGAGCTGATTTAAATGACATGTGAAAAATCATTATATGAAAGGATTTGGATTTTAACCAATTGGCAAAGGTGTAACAACTTCATGAGGACCAGGGATCTAAACGCAACACTTTGTTGTCTTTGTCTGTTTACTTGCAGTGCTTTTGACACTTTATGGTCCTTTATTGTTTCCACTGTCCCAACTAAAGAGACCTTAACGTCCTACAATCGGTGAAATACATTATTTTCTTGGCTTCAGAACCTGCAATGAGTTTATCACGTTAGACGTGTTTGTGACGGAGCGTCTCATCCAGCGAGGAAACGCTGCCTGCCGTCGCCAGAGAACAGAGCAGAAAGGTCCGAC